TAGACCCCCTGAGCCTGTTTCTTCACCTGTTAAATAAGAATATAAATTACCCATTTGCTGGGTTGCTCTGAGGCTTTAAAGATAGACCACAAATGCAAAATACCTAGTATAATACACAGCATTGATACTTGACAAATGTTAACAATTATTATTACAGAGAAAATCTTCTTAAAAATAAAGTCAGGCTAGGTGCCGTGGCTCACACCTGTAATCCCAGCACTTTGGGAGGCCACAGCGGGCAGATCACTTGAGCCCAGGACTTTGAGACCAGCTTGAGCAATATGGCAAAACCCCCTATCTAAAAAAAGTTAGCCAGGTATGTGGTGGTACACACCTGTGGTCCCAGCTACTCGGGAGGCTGAGGCAGGAGAATCATTTGAGCCAGGAAGGTCAAGGCTGCAGTGAACAGAGATCATGTCACTGCATTCCAGCCTGGGTCACACAGTAAGACCCTGTCTCAAAAAAATAAAAAATAAAAAGTCATTAAAATGTCATGCAAATAATATAATGTAAAACTGCCAGAGTCTCAAGGCAGTTGAAGGGATTTTATAGGCTAGCATCTACTCCCCCAATTCTAGTGAAAAATTATCTACTCACTGCAGCATAAAAATCCTGAGAAATGCTAAGTGATTGTTTCAAGGAATATCAGATGTACCCGCTTGCAAATTGTTGGAGAGTGTGACTCCTGAGCATGGGAGGAAGAGAACGGAACTCGGGAGAACACCTGCGTTTCAGTCCTGCCTGAATTTGTAATTTGTTAGGTGATCTAGAAAACTCAACCTTTCTGAGTATCAGTTTCTCATATTCAAATGAGGGGTTGGATTCGAAGTCTATACGGTCCTTCCAGCTCTGAAATAGCTTTCCCTTTAAAACATGAGCTCTTTTGGACTTACTGCTTAATGGATACAGAGTTTCTTTTTGGATGATAAAAGGTTCTGAAATTGATAGTGGTAATGGTTGTACAACATTGTGAATGCACTTAATGCCACTAAACTGTACACTAAAAAATGGTTAAAATGGTAAATTTTGTGTTATGTACATTTTGCCACAATTTTAAAAGGTAAAAAAACAGAGCTACTCCAAGAAGAGGATTTACGTGATTTCCCCTATTGGGCCCTTCCTCCAGATTGGGTGTTTTATTCCCAGTTCCTTAGTTCTATGAAATATGCCTTTTCTACAATAATTTTAAATCTTTTTTTTTTTTTTTTGTGGAAGAGGGGACAGAGTCTCACTCTGTCACCCAGGCTGGAATGCAGTGGTACAAACACAGCTCCCTGCAGCCTCAACCTCCTAGGCTCAAGTGATCCTCCCACCTGAGGCCCTCAGGTAGCTGAGACTATAGGTGCACGCCACCATGCCCGGCTAATTTATGTATGTTTTGTAGAGACAGTTTTGTCATGTTGCCCAGACTGGTTGCAAACTCCTGAGCTCAAGTGATCCATCTGCCCCAGCCTCCCAAAGTGCTGAGATTATGGGTGTGAGCCACTGCACCTGGCCTTAAATCCATTTTAAAAACATACTTCTGAGAATGCAGTTCTAGGAAACCCAATGTTCCATCTGACAATGGCCAGTGATAGCACCTGGCAGGTTTGTGTTTCCCATCTGGTTAGTCACTATCTTTCTTCCTTATTTCACTCTTTTCTTTTTCCCATAAAGTATTCCAATGAAGACACGTAAAAAAAAATGAACTGTCTTGGTGACTTGAGTTACGATGTCCATGGTGGGCTTTTCAGGGCACCCAGAAGAGCATACCAGGGCAGCAGTCTTCTCATGGTAAGTTCACAAGATCAAAGCCCTTGCCATGTGATCTCTCATTTGATCCGTATGACATTGAATCAATTAACTATCCCTATTTTGGAGATGGGGAAATTGAGCCTCAAGTGATTTGCCCAAAGTCACACGGCTAGTAAACAGCAGAGGCAGGATTTAAACCCTGTTAACACAATTGGCGTGTCACTGCTGCCACAAGTTCCCCATTTTATCGAGGGAGTAGTAAAGGTCTCGTGGGTTTATAAGATGTGAAGGGGGATGGCAGATGCAGCAGTAGAACCTAATGTTAACATTTTGGGCACATTTCCAGGCAGGATGGATTTCTGTCTCCTCTAGGTTAGCTTGTTTCTATTGGCAAGTACTCTACCCGACTCTGTATTATAGTTATCTGCAGGCATGTCTCATATTCCAGGCAAGATGCTGTCACAGTATTGTGTTTGATATGTGTTTAATAAAGATTTAAATGTGAATGAGTGATGGCAAAGGATGTATCACTAATCACAGGTCTTGTATGACCGTTTGGAGAACATCAGTATCATCAGATGGATTAACACTGATGACAAAATCTAAAATGTTTCTAGTTCCATAGAATGACGGCTACATTTAATTTATCACCACTGATTTTTTTTTGACCCTAGATAAATGATAGTTGTTTAGAATGTCTTCATAAACATTGAAATGTCTAAAAGTAGACATGATGACTTTTATACAGAGCCCGTTTTACCATTACAAATTCAAGAATCATATAGTAACTTGGAGAGATGTACAAACAGATTTTTGGCATGCTCTAAAAAAATCTCGTAGCTATCCATTTAAATGAAAATCAGCACTGATACAATTTCTCAAACCCATTTAAAAGAAAAAGCAATAACGAAACATAAAAAAGAACTGATTTGAAAGTGAGAATTTAATTTTTGTATTTTTAGAAAGTTGATTGCTTATGAGTAATTACTCAAATAATTTAAACTTGAGCTATGAGGAGAACTGTTAAGTACTTAAAACTTTGCCTGTTTCTACTCACAAAGATGAAAACCTATACTATGTGTGTAACTTTGTGCATCTGAAAGTGCCTGTCTCAAGCTTAGAAGGCAAAGAGTGGACTAGCAAGGGCACAGTTCTCAGATAATAGGATGACAGGGTTGAAGATGACTCTGAGATGATCTAATCCATTGTCTCGTTTTATAGATGAGGACCAGTGGAACAGAGAGGTAAGGGGGCTTGCCCAAGGCCACAGGGTCATCCAGGAGCAAGACAGTCATTCCAACTCATGATATTGCTTTGGGGTAGAGAGATTTTGGTTGACACTCTGGCCTTACTAGTCCCCTTAAACGAGAAAATGAGTCTTGGTTTCCTTAGCCATAAAAGGAGATTGATAAAAACAGCTATCTTTCCATCTTGTTGCATTGTTCTGAGAATCAAATGAGAAACTGGGCTGGGCGCAGTGGCTCACACCAATAATCCCAGCACTTTGGGAGGCCGAGGCAGGTGGATCACTTGAGGTCAGGAGTTCAAGACCAGCGTGGCCAACATACTGAAACCCTGTCTCTACTAAAAATACAAAAATTAGCCAGGTGTGGTGGCACATGCCTGTAATCACAGCTATTCGGGAGGCTGAGGCAAGAAAATCACTTGAACCCGGGAGGCGGAGGTTGCAGTCTGCAGTGAGCTGAGATCGTGCCACTGCATTCCAGCCTGGGTGACAGAGTAAGACTTCATCTCAAAAAAAGAAAAAAAAAAAAAAAGAAATTGTATGCTAAGAATTAGAAAATCGTTAGTTTTTAGTTTTCTCACTTTTCTTCTCCCCAATCTAGTGCCCCTCCCCATTCTATGCCTCTTCAATGTATATGTGTATTTCAGATGTGCAGAAACTCCTTACTAGCAGCTAGCAGCCATTAGATTAATTTTTTGGCTGGAGAAAATCAGGAATTTAAACACGAATGGTAGTTCTTTTTCTTCCTTGCATCCTAATGTCCATAGTAACTATGTCACGGAGGCCAACGAATAACTAGGAAGCACCAAAAAAATTCTTACACTGGTGGAAGATATTGGAAGGTTCCCCAGAATGTATATAAGTGGGAGTGATTTGTCACTTGTCCTTTCTTTTGCTTCCCCAGCCCGTCCTTGCCTTCCTCTTTCACAGCCAAAAGTGCCAACGAAACGAAGCTCAGCAGAGGGTTTTTAGGGGAATATTGAGGCATCCAGTTATGAAAAAATAAAATCTTCATCTTGGTAGAAGAGAGTAAACCCTGAAAACAATTCACTGAGTATAACAGCAAAGTAGAAACGCTATTGCAACCTTCCCCAGCCTGGCAGGCCTGTCCTTAGGTCCCTGCGCTACCCCTCCCCTTGTTTTTTTTGGTCAAATCATGGTACATCTGAAGTGTTAATGGGTAGTCACCCAACACACAGATGTTCCCTATGTGTATAGCATGCAATCACTTTGGAAATAGATGGCTGACTTGGATGCATCTCAATTGTAAATGGAGACAGCTATCTTTATTTTAATTACACTAAAAAAAGTCTCCTCAAAAATGCATAGTCCATGAGGTATTAAACTGTTGGCTGGTTAACATGGAAAGTTTGAATTCTTGTTAAAATGTAGAGAAATTCATTTAAAGCCATGTTTTGTACTGCCTTATTCTAGAATGCTGCCTTTATCATTCCATGAATTTTCTAAAGGCTCTTGTCTAGGAATAGGATTCCACTCAGAATTCATTCCATTCACTAAAAATCAGTGCAATTAAAAAAAACAACAACAACCTGAACATTGTTTATTATGAACCATCTGATATGGTAAATCAGGCCAAATTCTCCTCAGGGGAAAAAACACAGAGTACCTGTGTGGATCAGAAAACAGGGGGCCTGTTCTAGTTCTGTTCCTAACTAGCTCTGTGACTGTGGGCAGGCCCAGCCTTTCTCTGCCTTAGTGTCCTCCACACAAAATTAAGAAAAAGGAATGGTACATGTTATAAATCCACCTACTTGATGGTACTACCTAGTAACTGGAATTAGGCTACAGCTCTGGAGAAACTGGGCAGGGGTAGCTCCACTAAGTCTAAAAGTTAAACTGGAATATTTATTTCCTATAGGCCAACTAGTAGTCTAATCAGTAAAGCTGTTAAACTTGCAATAATATTTCACTGATGTGTACCAGAGCGTTGCAAGTTATAAAATTTCCAATTTAATTTTACTGCATCCCTGAAGCCGTAGTAATTAGAAGACAAACTCACAGGGAAGATGTTTACAGCTTCAGGGGTGATAATTTTGAACCTGTTCTGCAGGTCACTTCTGTCCTCAAGGTTCCCCGATTTGACGGCTGCGTGTAGACTTAGGATTTTTTTGTAATACTGCACTAGCTCGTCATTCATATGATGGGAGCAGATGTAGATGACATTCACATTGGCATCTAAAAACAACAGGCACAATGTTAATTACTGGTATGAAGGTAAATGACATTATGAACTCTGGCATCTGCTTGATGTTGTATACTTTAAAATAAAAAGCATATCCAAAAGCCACATTGAGGTTAATTTAGATTGGTTTTGTATGATATGAGCAATCTAACTGGCTATTTTACAGTTCAGCATTTCTCTGAAGAAAATATAAATTACACGCCACCAATGAAATAGATGCAATGATTCCTTCAGAGGGAGGGCTGTGAGATACCTTGGAAATGTACTTTCAAATAACACATAGGGATTTAGCCATGCAACACCCATTAACATCAATGGGAATTGCATACTGCTTTAAAAATTTATTCCATTAACTTCAGTAAGTTATAAAACACAGCTATTAACTTTAGAAAGCTGATGAAATTGCAACTTCTTATTCTGCATGGACTTGACAGGGTAAATTCAGGGAATGTCCTGTTCAAATAAATGGTCTGCTTATAACCACAGCAATGATTATTTCAGGAAACCAACCTCTCCCCTGCTTGATTCCCAAAATGGAGTATATTACTTACATAGTATGTCTAGTGATTCTTGGTTGAAAGGAAACACTGTCTTAATTTAACGTTTTTCCTTCTTAAGATTTGCTTCTTACATGTAACATAGTAAGAAACCCTAATTAAATATCCCATCCAAATGCAATAGTGAAATAACAGTATCTACTCCATGCTGCAGAATATTTCAGGGAGTATAAATAGGAAATCAGCAGTCAACGAAGTCATTCATTTGTTCATTCATTCATTTACAAAATAGCTGACTAATCTGTAGGGGCAAAGCCCTTGGCTAGACATGGAGGAAAATATAGCAATCATTGTGGGCAAGTTGAAGCACACAGACAGGTTCTTAGAGAAGTTCAGAGGAGGGAGCACTGTAAACGTTTTCTTAGGCAAGGAGAACCAAGAGGGGATTTTAAGACTTCTCTGATCGGTTTGACAGAGTACATCTACACACCATAAACTGATTAAATTCTAGTTATTTAACCTTTCTAAGCATTCATTTCTTCACCTGTAAAAAGGGGAATAAAACCACCTGGGGCGTAGAGTTTTAGACGGTATTAAGTGAGTGAAGATATAGAAAGTATTTGTTGCCACATCTGGCACATAGTAAGTCCTCAAGAAACAGCACAGATGGGTGAATGTGCTCTGGCCCACCCTGACTAGGCTAGCCAACAGTGACTCCCCAGCTGCCACACACCTACGTTTCCTTTGATCAGTACCTTAAGATTTAATATGAAGTAGTGTCCTCTGTGGCTCTAGCCTACTGTTTCCAATCTATTAATCTTGTCTCTCCAAGCTCCTTAAAGGCAATGTTGGTGCTATTTCTTATATTGCCCCAAGCCCTGGTACAGTGTGGAATATGTCGGAGTCATTCAATAAACACTTGTTGACTGACTGAAGGGATTATGGAGAGATTCGGAAAGTTGGGAAAATCTTTTATGCTTAGATGCAGGGCTTACAGGAGAAATCTCCCTCCCCAGAGACCTAGAGGTGGTGTTTTCTGAGCTGGCCCAGTGCTACGCCGAGAGCAGGTGCTCCATACATGTGAATATTTACGTGGCTCCCATTTAATTTTGAAACATAAACCTCAAAATAAATAACTTGCATCCAATTGCTGAATCATCATTAGTCATCCTAACTCTTCTGTTTTGAAGAGGCGGCTAGCATCTAACCAAATTACAATAGAGGTTTTAAAAGTCAAAGTAATAAGTTTTTTTTTTTTTTTAAGTATGAAAGAGTAAGGCAGAAAAACAAGAAAAATAGCTTATAGACTGCAGCAGATGAAAAATAAATTTTTTCTTAGGAAGAAAATTTCTAGGTTACAACTGATAAAAGGAATCATGTTGCCAATTTCACCTTTCCTGTTGGTTTCTGGCAAAGGAATGCGTATCACTAACTCTGATATTCAGTATTAGTGGGTTTTATCATGAATCTACATATGTTCACAATTAATTGACAGGTAATTTTAGAAAGGAATTGATAAGAAGGTGAAACTTCCTTTGATTGCTAGTTAGTAATCAGTCACTTTCTTGCTGAACTCATCTACGAACTGAAAATACTGGCCACTGGGGTCTCCACCTGATAATCATGACTTCATAGTCAATATCTGGTGACAAGCCTTACCAGTATGATTGGATTATCTTTGTTTACCCCAAATAAGAAGGAAAAAACGATAAAGGATAATTACTTATTCTTTCATAAAATTATTACAAATTTTTCAGTTTATTCATGTTTTTATTTCATAAGTACTTTGCTTTCATCTGACTACTATTTCTAAACTTTTATTACTCCTCTTGAAGACATTTTATGATTGCATTGCTATATCATGAAGACAATATACCAAGAAAAAGGCATTTGGTTCATAATCTCTTAGAAATGTTCATAAAAGCAAAATATTCCATTGCAGGTAGAGACAGACTGAATTATTGAGTTGTTTAAAACAGAAGCCTAATACTTTCAAGTCTTTTCCAATAATGAGAATGTTTTATAAAGAGATTATTTGGTGATGGCTTATATTATATATAGAAAGGGATATAAAAAGCCAAAGAAAAAAATTAATTCGAATAAATTAGAGCAAAGTCTGCCCTCTGCTGCACTTCAGTGGTTTCCATCCAGTCAGTTTTAGTTGAAATGGCTTTGCATTAACAAATCAATCTTAAGTCATTAAATTTTTTTCGTAATGCTGAAAAACAATCTTAGTGCCTAGATAATAGATTAAAGCAATTACGATTATTATTTTAAGACACTGTAAATTTCTAGTACTGATGTATTTTTGCTACCAAATGGCATCTATAAAATAATAATGATGCTGAAATATATATGAATCATGTAAAGTATGTCATTCCACGGAGCCAGCTAAGTTGGTCATTGATAATTTAAAATTCTTTCTAGTTTTTCTTAAATAAGGGCCAAAGCAATTATATTTTAACAAAACAAAGAAGTTCTTATTTGATAACTAATAAAAATCTAATTTTTGTGTAACCTTGAATTTTTGGCCAGTATCTCACAAACAGATTCAATGATATTGCTTAGCTTTTACAACCCATATTCTAGAGCCTAATCTGAACCCTGGCCTTGAACAGTGTCAACCAAAGCTGTCACATTCAGGCATCCTTCTCTCCTGGCTCCAGATGGGTATGTGATTAAGAACTGACCAAACCAGTATCAGAAATTGACTTGAACAAGGATGTATACATGACTCAATCAAGGTCTGTTTTTCTAAAAATTCCCTCCATAAGGCAGTTCACATATTCAAATAACACAATGCTCTATATTTATATAAAAGCTTCTTTTAAAAATCTATCTTCATTTTCCCCTTTTTCTTCTTATGAAAACACAGTGCTTCATTTCTGATACCACCTTTCACTCATTTCACAGATACTATAAGGGACAAGACTGACACAAATGTGAAATTTTGACTTCATTCACTTCAAGATTCAGTAAATAAAGACTTTGGTCTATAGGAGAGAAATGCTGATCCAAATCTGCAGCAAAGAGAATCTAGAAAACTGCCCAAGTAACTTGGTTGAAATGTCATTTTTTAATTCAAGTTGACTTTACTACAAATCTGATTTTTAAAATAAAACATTTAATTGCGCTGTAAATAGAGTTAAAATCTGAGCTTTTTCCTTGTAGAGGAAAAAAAAAGCAAAAACAAAACAAACAAAAAAATATTCTATCAACATCCACTGATAAACATTCCAAAGAGTCATTTGTGTACCACTATTTACTGTACCTAAGATGTCACACAGCCTCCCCAGCTGCATGTTCTGCTGTATGTTGAAATCAGCAATACGTTCTCTCACAGGCTGGGAATACCCTAAAAAGCAAACAAGGTATTAAAACCCAGAAAGAGCAAGTCAATATAGCAAAATGGCACAAGAGAATTTCAAAATGTCACAGTCCACATTTCTAGGAAAAAATTTTCTCTGAAGCATCTTACAGAAACAATCCAATCCCGAAGAATGAGGTCCTTGTTTCTTGGGGGAATTAAACATTATTCTGGAAGATGTGCTAAGCAACATACTCTGCAACAGAGAGGTTCGCATTTTTCAATACCATCAAGGCTGCTAAGAATCAAGATGATAAAACATGGAGAAAATTTCTGACATGCAATATGAATGTTTAAAAGGATGTGTAAGAAAATGATGCTCAGGTTAAAAGAATATTGTTTTGGCTTCTTAATGGGAGCGTCCTATGTGGTATTTTGAAGATGTGTTCCAAAATCATTCTAAAGTGACACACAGATTTCAGATAAATCCCTTGCTGTCAGCAATATGTATTTAAACAATTCAAATACTAAAGAAATCAACATCTGCTCACAGTCAAAAGAACTTTTCACCTTCAAAGGCCAAGAAGGGTCAATGCAATTACTTTGTCAGTACTAATAAAAGTCCTGCAGTTTGCCTTTGTTTTCACTGGAAACGCAGCAGAAGGGAAAACACATATGGATTACTATTGTCCAAAAATCTCTCACAAACAACAGCAAAAACAGTTTCTGCTGATATTTCAGGTCATTTAAAAAGCGAATCAAAATATAAAAAGTATGCATACTCACAAGCAGGTATAATTGCTTATATGAAATTCAGCAACTGTAGGTGCAACTTTTTTTTTTGCTTTATAAAATTGCTTTTCACATTTTGAAGAGATGCTTCAATGCCTCCTTGTGGTTAGTGAGCCCAAACACATGTTTCAAGTTAAACTGCTCTAGATAAAGTGATTTTATACACTACATCTTCAAGATGTGACACACATTTCCTTTTCAGCATAAGGAAAACTATAGCAATTCAGGCAATGGGGCTTCAGACCAAATGAACTTTGATAATTGGCTCTTTGCTTTGATGTCAGCGTTTAAACACTAGACAACGTCTGGAAATTAAGTGTCTTTACAATCATCTAAAAGTCTCTCTTTGCTTTGCATCTGGACAAGAATTAAAAAGAGAGGCAGAAGGACAAATGAGCTATTTGAATCATTTTTGAAAAATTATTAATCTCTCAAATAATTTATAGAACCATTCCACATATAAAAGCTAATATAGGCAGTTACAACTCCAATGATGTCTTTATGTGTGACTACAATATTGTAACTTGGAATTCTGCATATGGATAATTTTATCTATATTCAAACAAATGTTTAGAAAGATGTATTGTGAATAACTTATATAGCAAGACTATAAAAAGGCAGGAAAATGCCTAAAGAATATAAAGTGTGATTAAGAAAAGTGCCTGAGAGCATTCTATGACTGCATTTCCTTTCAAAAGTAAAGATAAAAGGCAGTATGTCTCATTAAGATGATGTCCAATTTAAAATATAAAGGATGTCTGATCACTTTGTTGCTGCATGTGCAGCATGTGAGTAAGTCTGCTCCATTCCAATGCTTGAGGTCAGTTTTCCAACAAATTACTTGGGACCTCTGTTACCACAGATCAAGAAGGCATATAAAATGTTTACACAGAACACAGTCATTTTAAAGAAGTGTATGCTAATCTTGGAACATTGTTATAGAGAATCATATGCAGTTACAGGTATGAAAACATCTTGTAAGCTGTAAAGTGCTGTATAAACACAAGGTATTTTAATGTTACAAGGTATGGGTGTTTCCAAAACATATAACAACAATAACAGACTCTGTGACAAACAACAGCCACCATTCTACATGGACAAGATACAATGCAATGTAAAATGATATCAGCAGATCAGAAGTTGGAAGTGAGTATGTTTTTAAGTCAGGCTTGTTTTGTTTTGTACATCCATAAAGTGCATGTGTTGACAGGTGAAAAGATTTCGTCAATGCTGGTAGCATATATTAAATATAACCGTGACTTAACCAGGAAATTATCAACAAGGATGTGGTTTAGGGGAGTTCAGTAGACATGCCTCGTGACAAGGAGACATTACGCTCTGGACTATAATATACAATGACGTGGTTTCTTCCAGGGTCTGGTTGGGAACACTGAAGGAGTTCTGAGAGATCAACCTCAGTCCTGCCATATTATAGATAAGGAAACTTAAGGTAAGTGTGTTGTCTCTTGTCCATGGTCACATAAACCTACAAATTATTATATAGTTCAGACACTATATATTAGCTCCTGTGAGAAATTTAGATGTATAAAAGACAAGACTCATCTTTTATACAAGATGTATAAAAGACAAGGCTGGAGTGCAGGGGTGTGATCTCGGCTCACTGCAACCTCCACCTCCCCAGTTCAAGCAATTCTCCTGCCTCAGCCTCCTGAGTAGCTGGGACTACAGGCATGTACCACCATGCCTGGCTAATGTTTTTGGGTGTGTTTATTTTTAGCAGAGACAGGGTTTCACTGCCTGCCTCAGCCTCCCAAAGTGCTGGGATTACAGGTGTGAGCCACTGTGCCCAGCTAAAAATGTCCAAGTTCTAATATCCATAACCAGTGAATATATTAGGTAATATATATTACGTTACAAAAGAGAATCAAGTTGCAAATGGAATTAAGGTTGCTATCAACTGACCTTAAAAAAAAGAGATTATCCTGGATTATCTGGCTGGGCCAGACGTAATTGTCAGAGTCCTTAAAAGTGGGAGAGGGATGCAGAGGGGAACTGCTAGGTCTCTACTGAGGCAATAAGGTCCTACTCATCATAGGGGTATGCCTGACCACCCTTTTCTAAAGTTCTTAGTCTCCCTTCACTGTTCTCGTGCACCCCTTCTTCACCACCCGTTTCTCCCTTTGTCATTACATACTTCTTGGCTTGTTTACTTTACTGTCCATCTCTTCTTTCACCTGTACCACTCTAGCTCCTGTAACCAGACTATTAGCTACGTTACAGCAGGTACTTGTGCAATCTCCAGTTGAATAATGAATGAAACATGTATGAAGCCCCTACTCAAAAAATCTTTTTCTTTTCCTTTTTTTTTTTTTTTTTTTTAACAGGGTCTCACTCTGTTGCTCAGGCTGGAGTGCACTGGTGTGATCTCAGCTCACTGCAGCCTCAACCTCCTGGGCTCACGTGATCCTCTCACATCAGCCTCCCAAGTAGATGAAACTACTGGTACATATCACCTGCACCTGGCTAACTTTTGTAATTTTTGTAAATTTTTTGTAAAGACAGTGTTTCACCATGTTGCCCAGGATGATCTCAAATTCCTGGGCTAAAGTGATCCACCCACCTCGGCCTCCCAAAGTGCTGGTACTACAGGTGTAAGCCACCATGCCTGGCCTGTCCTTAAATTCTTAGCCCTTTCTCCTGTGTGTTCTCATCACCAACTCCCCACCCCCCCGCCACCGCTTTCTTTCAACTTTTCTAGAACTGGGTTCTCAGCCGGGCGCGGTGGCTCAAGCCTGTAATCCCAGCACTTTGGGAGGCCGAGGCGGGTGGATCACGAGGTCGAGATCGAGACCATCCTGGTCAACACGGTGAAACCCCATCTCTACAAAAGCTACAAAAAATTAGCTGGGCATGGTGGCGCGTGCCTGTAATCCCAGCTGCTCAGGAGGCTGAGGCAGGAGAATTGCCTGAACCCAGGAGGCGGAGGTTGCGGTGAGCCGAGATTGCGCCATTGCACTCCAGCCTGGAAAACGAGCGAAACTCTGTCTCAAAAACAAAACAAAACAAAAACAAACTGGGTTCTCTGAGCTGGAGAACTTCTGGGGAATTCAAAAAATAAGTGGGATGTGTAGCTTTTTCAAGGTCCTCATTAGCACAGAATAATACAACACTAGCAGAAAGAGACACTCTCTCTTCCTCATCACTGCAGAAAGGAACACAGCCTGTTTTCTTACGGCCATTCTTATTTCCTGCAAAATACTCCTAGTTTGATAGAGGGTTCCATCTTTTCTCACATAAGTAGTTGTGAAATGTTATTGTTTCTACATTAAAGAAGGTTACCTGAGAGCTGCCTCTCTGAAATTATTCAGCTACCACTTCTGGGCCTCCATTGAACCAAGGCTGCTCATCAAAGGTCACTGGCAATCATTTATCCTCCCCACTTCTACCTTCGCTAAGTTTCCCAGTCCCTTTCTGCATGCACACCTATCAGATGATACTAATTGCCTCTTTGCATCCGGCAATCTAGCCCTGCTGGAATTGGCTTTTCTTTCGCAGTAGCCACGGAAACCCAAGAACATGAGCAAGGCCACGCTGAGTGACTAAGCCCCCTTGGCACTGGTGCATGCCTCTGTGACAGGCCCCTGTTGTTGCAGCAGACCACACGTTCTGGAACATCAGCTTCTTACCCTGTGGTTGACTCCTAGTTTCTTTTGTCTCCCAAGTCCTATTGCTTACAATGGTACTCAAGGCAGAGAAGAGGTTAACAATAGACTCCTGATTACCAAGTAGTGGTTGTTCATCTGATCACCCTAGCCTGGGATGGTGGTCATTCCTGCCTCAGTTTGCTGATCTGGAGCAGTTGTTCTCAACCTTTTCCTCATTTTGAAACTCATGATCAGTGATGTTCAATGCATCACATCCTCCCCACGGCATACTCAGGCTTACTCCATCCCCTTCTCTTCTACTCAAGAAAGCACACTGGATACAAGCTCAGGAACAGTGACATTGATACAGAGATAATCTGGAATTGCTCCAATTCATAAAAAAATGTTGGTATTCTAATGGCAAAAAAACAAGAGGACACGTTATAACGTGTCCTCACAAATGACTGCACATCAGCATCTTGTCATAATAAAGAACTGTGATCTAGACACTGTGGTGTAGCCAGGTTTTAATTACTTACGCAAGTGTGAAAGCACAAGACACTAGATGGTGGGATCCCAAAAGATGGCAAGAGACAACTCTATCTGGGTTATTTAGATAGTATATCCATTGCCAGTTAGATTAAAATAAAA